ATCTCTTCAGTCTGATGAAGTAGCACTCTTCACATGTCTGCATCAATAAAAGAATACCTTACTCTGTGATGGTCTCAGTCTCAAGTGGGCTGATCAAACACCTGATCTGATGTGAAGAGAAACCCTGCTGCGAAAATGTTTTACAAAGAGCTTTGAAGAAAATGAAAAAAAGAAAAGAAAATTGAAATTGGAAAAATGAAATGATTAGCAGGGCGTTTGTACAATTGTTGAGGCTGAATATAATTCACTGGAGTTGTTGTTACCTGTGTCATTGGATCCAATCATGTTTGATCCAGTGAGGCTAAAAGCACACGCTTTTTCCATTTCCCTCCTTCAATAATTTAGTGCACGCATTAGTTTCTGATCACTGCGCCTGCTTTTGAACACACTGTATATATTGTACATACTGTATATATTGTGTATTGTTTTGCATTTTCTGTATGTATGTTTTAATTGTTTTAATCAACTGGCCTCATGTTGCTGCCTCTTAACCAGGTCGTCTGAGGTTCTCAGTTGATTAATCTGGTTAAATAAAAAGGTAAAAAAAAAGGTTTTGAGAGACTGTATTTAAGCACGATGTACAGTTAATCAGTTGTGCTGTACTGTTATTGTTATGCATCAGTTTACTCAGTGATAGAAAAGGGGTCCCTTGAGGAAAACTCACTGTACAGCATCTAACCAACACCTAAATATAAATATCACCCTTTACATTTAAATTCTACTAACAGCCGTCAAGGTCAGTGTGCTAAAGTAATCTGACTTTTTGACTAACCGGTCAGTCATTTATTTTTCTGTCAGAGGCCTCTTTAAACAAAACATACGAATGTGAACAGGTGTCAATTCTCACATATTTTTCTAAAAATAGCCTCACATGTACATAACGTTAGAGAAGGAGGGGCTGCAGAAAACACGTCAGTGATCTATAAAATCACCATCGAAACTCAGAACTTCACTGATACCCAGTAATACAGGTAATCATGTTGCAGGTGTCTCTCTTTTTGTTAAAATGAAAATTAAATAATAATAAAAAAAGAATATCCGAACAGGTTTTTTTGTTCTCTACAGGTTTTGTAGAAAGATGAACGCCATCCAGGTGATTTCCCTCACTGTGCTGTCCGTTCTGGCAGCCAACGCTCAGGTCATCATGCCAGGAAAATGCCCGAAGCCTGCTGTTCAGAAGGACTTTGATGCTGCTAGGGTGAATATCAAACCTTTTCTTTTAAACTTTAATATATTCAGTATTAAATATTTATATTCTTTAACTTCCAGAAGTTAACAAACGAGACCTTCATGGGCAATACCTCAAGATTCTGTAGCTCAGCAGCAACTTAATTTCATGCTCTTACGTCTGTTGTGCTTCCTCTGCAGTATCTTGGTACCTGGTATGATATCCAGAGACTGCCTCATGCCTTCCAGAAGGGCGAGTGCAGCACTGCCACCTACAGCCTGAAGAGCCCTGGAGTTGTTGGCGTCCTCAACAGGGAGCTGCTGTGAGTACTCCGCCTACATCTCATGAAAATGTCTTATGAAGAGTTTGGGTGCTAAAACTTAAACTTAGAGCTGGCGGCCCATATACGGAGTTGCTGCAGCAGTCTTAGTTTGAATCCGACCTGTGGCCCTTTGCTGTGTGTCATCCCCTCTCCACCCACCTTTCCTGTCTCTCTATAGCTGTCTATCAAAAAAGCCAATAAAAAGCACAAAAAAAACCATACAGCCGGGCTATAAGCTACAAATGTACACAAGTTTTGTGCAGCCTAAATTTGTTAGGAAGTCTAATTCTGGTAGTTAAACTATTAGCTCAAACAATACATTTCAAATATGAATAATTCCTTCTAATAAATGAAAATTAGTTATTTAAAACCTGTCTGTTTATAATTGTATGTATTTACTGTTTCTTTAAGTGCTGATGGAACTATTAGCTCTATCAGTGGCTCTGCCATGGCCCAGGACCCCTCTGAGCCTGCCAAGCTGGTGGTCTCCTTCTTTGAGAGTAAGGACCCGTAATTTATTACAAACCCTCTCAACACTTTAAATTGCAGTTAGCATTGTCTTTCACAATCCTGTAGACTTTGAAAATTGTCAACACAGATCTGATTGTTTTGTGCTTTTACACCTCCAGACTCTCCCCCTGCCCCTTACTGGGTGCTGTCCACCGACTACGACAACTACTCTCTGGTCTACAGCTGCACCGACCTCGGTGTGCTGCATGTGGACTTTGCCTGGATCCTGAGCAGGCAGCCCACCCTGCCCGAGGCGACCATGGAGGAGCTGCACAGCACCCTGTCCGCCATCGGAGTCAGAGTGGACAAGCTGCTCACCACCAACCAGGATGCAGCTTACTGCAGTGCCATGAACCAGTAAACAGACTGAGGTAGTTCAGCTTACAGACTGCGATGTGGTGTAAATGTCTGTATGTCTCATGCAAAGTCAATCCAATAAACTTATTTAAACAGCAGTGGAGGATTTGGTGTCTTTTCTGTGTGGTGGTCTGAGCTAAACATAAAGATAATTGATTATCTGTTTCTGTGCTGCTGATGTGTTTGTCTTAGTAAAATGGCTTTAATGGGTTTGGACTCTGATAGCCAGAATGTTTTACACGCATAGTTTCACAAAGTCATTAATGACTCGTCTAAAAAGCATGTTTAACAGCAAAGTTAATATGCTGTTACATCCTTCATTCATTTGTAAATTATTAGTCCTTAATGGATCATTCTCTGTCCATTTACACTTGTAAACAAAGTCTATCTAAGTGGCATGTTTTGTTCATAATTAGTTTAAGATTATTCTTTTTTAGCTGTTAAGAGAACAAAAATGCATTAACCTCACACAAGTGCATGCTCAAACTCAAAAATAAAAATCTAACAAGAAAAAGGTGACACACCATCAAAGAAATCAGTGCCTATGCAGCTTCATATTTTATTTAAATATTCTTGCTAATGCACTTTGGCCAGAGGCTTTCTTTCCGCCTATTTACCTATAAGCAGTATAGAAACATTTGATTGGTTCGTAACACACTATAATATCATAAAGTAAGATATAACAGTTTATTTATGCATTTATCAAAAACTACAACTCCTTCAACTCCGCCAATAAGTGGAGGCTGCTGAATAAACAGACAATAAATGACGATAAAGTAAAATACAGTTGTATGATATAAAATGTCTTCTTAGGAGAAGTTGTAATTGTTAACAAATACTTTATATTAATAAACACTCAAATGCAATTATATCTTGTAACTGCAGTATAGTATAAACATTTATTAACTGTGCTTATAAATGCTAAATAGTAGTGTTACGAAAGGCTGTTTACAGTATAATACTGCTGTTCTATTTCATTGCATTAGCTTCCTATAAACCTACGGGTCCACCCTGCACAATAAAGACAGTTTTTATATTAATCTAACAATTATATGTGGTCTTAACAGATGTTTGTGCCTTAAATATGAATCATATGAAGACCAGATATGACTTCCACTTTCCAAATCTGAGATAGAACCAAAATGAAAATCTACATTTTTAAGAAGAAACCAAACAAAGTTTAGTAAAAGTATTGCTGGTTTATAATGACATAACATTTAAAATTGATTTATTGTATGATTTCTGACTCTCAAGGACACACAAAACTGTTTACTGAATGAAAATGTTTTCAGTGTTGTGTCCTTGACTGTAATGGAAGAACTACCCAGATCTTAAGTAAAGTTGTAATTTCAAAATGTAGAAATACTCTTCTCTTACAAGTAAAAGTTCTACATTCAAATGTTTCTCTCTTAAGTGTTAGTATCAACATAAACTTAAAGTGCAAAAAATTATATTTCAGACCATTATATATTATAATTATAGATGCACTAATACGCATGACTTTAATGTGGAAGCAGGAAGCAAAGGGACTTATTTTTACTATATACACAGTTTTATTAATCTTAATCTACACACTACTAACTACACAACAATATTTCTCTATGAAAATAAACATAAAATGGAAATACTCACATAACGTACCTCAAAATTGTACTAGTACAGTTCTAAGAGGAAATGTACTGAGTACTTTCCACCACTTGTCCTTGAGAAGCAGAAATCATGCAGTTGTTTGGACTGCTTAAGTAAAGACAAAACACACCACAATGCATTTCTTTCTCCAGGTTTATTGCACTGATTTTATAAAAACGTACTGAAAAGCTGTGTCATAAATCCCAGTCGGCCGGTCACAGTCCTGTAGCCTGAAACTGTTATAGTATCTCAGTTTACTGGTTCATTGGGCTGCAGTAGGTCTCATCCTGGTTGGTGGGGACCATCTTGTCCACACTGACTCCAACAGAGGAAAGGATGCCGTGCAGCTCCTCCACGGTCTCTGCAGACAGGGTGGGCTCTCTGCTCAGGATCCAGGACAACTCCATGTAGAACAGGCCGAAGTCGGAGCAGCCGTAGACCAGAGAGTGACCCTCATAGTCGGTCGACAGCACCCAGTAGGGACCAGGGGGAGATGCTGTAGGAGAGATATGATAGTCAGAGCTGCTGATTATTCAGCAAATTCAAGAAAACTACTTATAAAGACTGGACTTGAATGTTAGAATATGTGTGTAATGAATTAGACTTCTTTACTTTCAAAGAAGGAGACCTCGAGCTTGGCAGGCTCAGCAGGGTTCTTGGCCTTGGCAGAGCCCACGATTGAATTAATGGTTCCATCATCACTGAAAAAAAAAAAAAAAAA